TCTCTCTCTCTCTCTCTCTCTCTCTCTCTCTCTCTCTCTCTCTCTCTCTCTCTCTCTCTCTTCCTTTTTGCTCATTTGAATTACTCCCGCCGCCTCTACGGTAATTACTCTGGTCGATACTCTCGCTCCGCCGAGCTCCCTGAAAGGTTTATAGTTTCGCGCTGATCTGGTGGACTGTATATAATGCGAAATCCCGCGGGTAGTTGCAGCAGCAGCGCAATAGCAGCCCCTGATGGAGGGGAAGGGGAGGGAAGAGGCGCTCGGGGACAGCGGTCGTTTGCCACGCTGTCACCGCCCCCCGCCTCGCCCCGCCCCACACACCACCCGGGCCCGGCCCTAGGGCCGAGCCGGGCTGGGTGGCTGGGCACAACATTAGGGGGCCTGTGTGTTAAAAGGATGCACACCTCTCCAGAAACAAAGGGGTGCGAAAGTCGGGCGCTCTGTGTATACCCTTTTCCTTGTTTCTTTGCGCTTTTGTCCCTTTTGCCCTACTTCTCCCCCTCCGTCTTCCTCACCCATTGTTACGTATCGCGTCCTTTGTGGCGGGGGATATGAGAGCCGAGAGGATGAATGGGGAGAAGGTAAAAAGTGTCTGTTTGGTCGGCAAAGTCTCGCAGCAGCAGCACATGTCCCGGTTTGTTTCGGTGTACATTGTTGGCACGAGTGGAGAATAAGCAGCTAACGTAAGTCAGATCGACTTATTTCAATAATCACCCTAATAGTCGCGCTGATCCCATCTATAAATAAACTTCAATGTTGCAGTTCTCTTTCAGTGTCGTATCGTCCTTTCATACAACCTACAGTAAAAGTATTTAACAAGATACGCACGCACCCAGAAAAATATTTTCTTGATTCAAGTGCAAGCCGACACAAGATGAAATCCACCATTGAAACAACGCAAAATAATCTTTGGAATAAGATTTTTCTCTTATTCGAAAGAAAATATCAGCTTGTTTCAAGAGTAAATTTGATCTTGTGTCAGTGTGCACTTGAAACAAGGAAAAAATTACTTGAAACAAGAAACGATTTTTCTGGGTGCGGGAAAAGAGGTCAAATGTCACGTTTTACTTGCGGGGCCAGTGCTGCCGAGTGCTGGCTCTTGGCAGTGTGCGCCGCGGTGCGTAGCCTTTCCCGGTATACCGCGGGCCGCGCGTGGGCAGGCTGGGCAGGCTGGGCAGGCGGGGGGCAATCCGTGCCCCCCCCCCCCCCCCAGCAATCCCGTCTCCCTT